TTCTGGAACGTCAACCTCGATTCCATATCCATGATCAACCTGGTCATTTGCATTGGGTTTTCAGTAGATTTTTCTGCTCATATTTCCTATGCCTTTGTTACAAGTGGAGAGTCATCGGCCAATAAAAGGGCAATTGAAGCTCTGTCCCTGCTAGGTTACCCAGTTCTACAAGGTGCAGTTTCTACAATACTGGGCGTAGTTGTCCTGGCCGCAGCGAGCACCTACATCTTTAGGACATTTTTCAAGATCATGTTCCTTGTTATTTTGTTTGGGGCTCTTCATGGTCTTGTTTTTATTCCAGTGTTTTTAACATTTTTTGGAAACTTTGGCAGATCACCCAATACCATATCTAAAAAACTTGAGCTTGAGAAATTATAGTTTGTTTGTGACTAAATTTAGTAAATTAAGTTTTACTTATTATATGTAGATTCAATTGTAATGATTGTCAGGGAATGTAAGACATGAAGAAAATTAAAGCTAAAAAAAATAAACTCAACAGGGAAGCAAAGGCTTCAGAAAAGCCAGGCAAGAAAAATAATAAATTAAAACTTAGAGATTACATTTGCATTTTTAATTTTTGTGTCAACATGTTAATGTTGTTAAGTATTTTTTGTGTCTACTGAATGTATTATGTATATATATTATATATATGTATTATGTATATGTATTATGTATATATATTATGTATATGTATTATGTATATGTATTATATTTTTGTGTCTACTGAAGTTATTATAAACACTGACCACTGTGTCAGCTTAATGGACTACATTACATTTTGTCAGGACATGTGCACAGTGGGGAAGAGTAACTTCCACTCGTCTGCATTTCCCACCTGTTTGCCTTGGTGCTGTAACTCATCCCAACACTGAGCTGAAAGAAAGTTTTTTGCCCAAGAGACTCAAATTTGGATGTTTTACAGCAAAATTTGGATGTTTTACAGTAATTTTGTTTTACAGCAAAATGACAAGTGGTAAGAACTGTCTCAGACTGCAGTAACCCATAAGCCTTCAGGAGACAAAATGTGCTTAGGTTCCTAATGTAGCACGAAAAACCTTGGGGAAGACTCACCCCAAGGTGACTCCCATTTCCTATTCAAAGCCTTTTCTTGGTGTCCTGTTTTCTAGCTAAGGCTGAACATCTGGTACCCTTAAGAAGTTTGTGTGTAGCTTCTCTTGGCTACAGTCTGCAAAGGATGTGCTGTAGGTTATTGAACTTGCATGGACCTCCTAAGTATGACAGGGCAAGGACTCTCTAGAGAGAATCACAGCCTGATTTGGGACAAAATGAAAAGGCAACTCAGGTTTAAGCAGATCGGTCCTAAAACTGTAAACCCATAAATTCCATTCTGTTCATCCTGAGTAGCTTTCACTGAATAAGAGCTAAGAATAGATGAGAAGTGGCCTTTTAACTTGTAGGGGACAAGACAGAAAAGTCAATTTATAACTTGTTGCCAATATCACGAATGACCCATTGGAAACAAAGTGAATGATGGAAACTGATGGAATTCTGGAAAAATTGGTGTAGAACTCATTAAACCATTCAGTCCAAATCTGCTTCCATGGAAGATTTCTTCTGACTGAGCAAGTGTGGCAGGGTCTGCCTCTGTTTCCTGTGATTCCTGGCCCATTTCATGAGACCCAGTAGACAGGGCAGGAGCCTTCTGTTTCTTCCAGAAGTTTTTGGAAGATCAGTGAAAGACTGAAATTCATATTAACCTTAGAAGAAATCTGCTCCTGAACTCAAAGTCAAAACTCCATGCTGAATCTCAGAATTACAGCTAGCAGCATTAAGTTTCCAGGACACTAAACACAAAGCTACGTCTGGGAAAAAACAAATGCACTAGAGTGCCCACTTCTCCCATTAAATGTTTCACAGTCCATACTAGTGCCATAATGGCAAATGTTGCAGCCATTTATGCACTGATGATGCTGTGGAAGGAGCAGATGATGCTCTCATGTTGACCAATGCCAGAGGAAGGCCTCTTAATAAATGTGTGAGTGATGGGTTTGGAAAAAGGGAAAGATACTGCTCAGGGAAGTAGAGAGAGCGACCTATTTAAAGTGTGTACTCTCACCTCTCATCGTGTTGTTTGGCCATGTTTTAGAAGCAAAAATAGCTCTCATTGCTTCTAGCTCAAGTTTTCAAGCAGATCAATAGAGCAGAAAGTTAGCAATGGCTTGATTGCTCTATCTTCAAGGCCAGTTTAAAGGATTAAGATTTAGAACACTTTTCTGATATTTCAGCTGACTCAGGTCATCACAGAGTAAGAAGCAGCCAGGAGAAGGCCACAACTTTCAGTGGAACTTTGCATTTTGTGTTAAGCATGCTGGTAGAATTCTGTCATGCCAGCCTCAGGAATACAGAAAATTCAGAATTATGTCCAAGTTTGAATTTCTTATTTTTATGTGCCACCCTGCTTGTGACCACTTTGGAGGTATTTCAAAAGCAAACAGTGTATCTAAGCACTTAGCTCTGCCCCAATTTCAACAGCAGGAGGCTGTTCCTACATAAAGGAACACTTCCCTGACTGATTTCTGGAAGTGCTTTTGTGGTTGTGATGTGTTGACCCTGGCTGGACAGCAGGAGCCCACCAAAGCCACTCTATCACTCCCCTCCTTAGCTGGACAGAGAAAACACAGCAAAAGGCCAGTGGGTTGAGATGAAGGCAGGGAGAGATCACTCACCACTTACCATCATGGGCAAAACAGTTTTGAGTTCAGTAAAATGAGTTTAGTTGCCAACCAAATCAGAAATAAAACCAAATTTTAACACCACCTCTTCTTTCCTGTTTTCATTTTCACTTCCACTTTTCTCTACCTCCTCCCCCTCAAGCAGTAAGAGCAGGGTGGGGGCAGGACAGGAACTGGGGCTGCGGTCAGTCCATCACGGGTTGCCCCTGCTGCTCCTCCCTCCTCAGGAAGACTCTCACTCTAAGCCTGCTACCTCTGCTTCACTGACCTTGGTGTGTGCAGAGCTGTTTATCTCACCTACTCACTCCTCTGTCTCTGGCTGCAATTGCTCTTGGGCAGAGCTTCATCCCCTTCTTTCAGTGTGTTGTCCCTGAGGCTTTACCACCGGGGCTGATGGGCTCAGCCTTGGACAGGAGCAGGTCCTCCTAGAGCGGTCTGGCAGTGCTCTACTGGACACACGGAAGCTTCTGGCATCTTCTCCAGATGCCACCCATGCAGCCTCCTCACGACAAAAACCCTGCCACACAAACCCAACCCAGTGCTCTCCCATCTCTGCCCAATAATACGAAAGGAGAAATTCCAGCTCCTAGGTGCTCCCAAGAGCCCCAGCCATCAAATCCAATGCCTCAACAGACAAGTTTCTTGGAATATGTTCCACACACAAAACCAACTAGGAATGACAGTGAACTCCTCAGTAATACTTGTGCTGTTAAATTGGCCAAAAAGCAAAGATACCCTTTACACTTTATGGCTAATCTTGTAATAATCTTTCACAGCCCAAAGATACATCACTTTTTTTTCTTTTTGATACTATCCTATGCATATAGCAAGAAGCTTTTGAATAAGAAAAGTTGGACTTCAAGAACTTACCCCCATAAACAAGATCATTCAATACAGATTTTAGTAACTTCAAACAAGAAAAAGATTTTTTGCTTCTCTTATATGCAAATTCACATTATTTAGCTGGAAAAGATCCCTTCCAAGTCCCACTACTGAAGCAGCAATTGAAAAAAAGGTGTGAATTTCTAGGGAGAACATTCCCTAGAAATCTCACTAAGAGAGAGTGCAATTTTGCCATAATTCTTAAATTTATTTACAATTTTAAATGTTGTATACACCTCAATTTACATACTAGGGAACTTGGTATTACATTTTATAGTAATTTACAGTGAATAAGAAGAAAACCAATGTGCATAATTAAAATTAACCTTTATTACTCCAAAACCAGATGTCAAATATGCAGTATACTTCTGTTTCTATTGGCATATTTCCAAAATACATGTACAACTGTAACTAGTCAGCCTAGATATTTCCTATACCGTTTTATAATATTTGGAAGTTCTCCCACGCTGAGCAGGATGCCACTATAGTAAGTTGACAAAAAGAGGCAAAAAAGAAAGTTGATCTTCTTTTGAAAGGGGGAAAAAAAAAGCATGTGCTCTTACTAAAAATACTAGGTTATAATCAAGCATTACACTCAGAAAATTCTAAAATACTATGTTACTCCTAGTTTTAGGTGTAGCTACCAGTTTCCATTCACATTTCTTGGCACCAGCCCAACTATTTTAATGTCCAAATATGGTAACCCTCAACATTAATATGCTAATACACGCCCTCTCTGCAACAGCAGCTTGTAATCCCACAACACTACAACTGATTGTGCAGAAGGATTATGATCAAGATGTGTTATTCCTAAAATCCAGTTCCATGAGATCAGAGGAATACTGGCATATAATTGCTAGCCATCACTTCCACTTGATTGGAAACTAGTCTTGTTTTCAAAACCTTTTTTGTATTTTCTCAGAATTTCCCAAGGTTTCTGTAAGGGTTGAAAGAAAATGTTTTATTTCCCTACTTCTACCATAGAACAGAACTAGGAATGTTATTTGAAACAACACATGCTTCAAACATTTTCTGAATTACTTTTCAGTGAGTGACGTTGTCCTCTTCGAAGAGATTATCTGTTGGATTATCAAACGCCATACATAGTATTAATAGAAACTAGTTCTGTAGAATTTCCAGCAGTGTAAAAGCACTGTCATCAAAGCACTGTCATCTGCCTACTGCAGTAATAAAAATTTTAAGAAACTTGTCAGCAGCACATGAGAGGTCACAGGTATTTCTCTTATCCCTGCTATAGTTTCACCCAAAACATGGTCCAAAGAGGCTTAGACACATTTAGCCTGTTGTTTTTGCAATTTCTCTCCCAGCCATACAGATGTGTATTTTAACCCCAAGAGTACTGGAAACATAACCACTAACATTTTTGTCTAGCATGGTGCTCCCACCATGTAGCTTGTTCATCCTTTGAGATGTTTTGTTACATTTCTAAATAAGAAGTCTTTAATAGTGGTCTCTAACCCCAAACAGAGTATGAGTAATAGCTACACAACATACTGTTGCTTTACATCTCAGTCTGTCACTCTCCATAACATCCCAGAGCACACATTGTGAGGTATCACTTCAAACACACATGTAGCAGCACGGCCCAGGAAGCTGTGCCAACACACACCAGTGGATCTGCATGTTTTTCTGCTCAGCTTCAACACATTTGATTGGATCAAAATGCTAAATTCAACCCTGAGATTTATCCTTCTGAATGACTTCTTGTGCGAAGAGTATAAGGAGCAGAGGATGAGGAACTTGCTTTATTTTGTGTCTTATTCTGATGAGACACGACAAATAGATGAGTAACAGAAGCTCACAAGAGACAGACTACTATTAAAGTGACACTAATGCCATACACACATCAGGAAGAGAAAAAAAGGCTATGCTGCATAAGACTACTGCATTGCTAGATGTACATTCTTCAAATTATCAGTTACATATCCCAGAAGTTATCATCTTACTTCTAGTTTTTTTCCCTCTAGAACAATTTGGATTTCTTTGGCATCCAAAGTCTCATATTTCAATAAAGCTTCTGCTAAATTC